AGAAGGCTTCGGTCATCGTTGTTATTTCTGATCGAACAGACGAATGATGAAGTGTGATTTCAGATCCGACAGGAAGGAACGTCTTCGAAGGAGGCAAAGAACTTATTTAGCTAGTCGTTCAAAACTCTACACGTCACGTGAAGGAGGTGAAGTCGAAGAGCAACGAATAGTGGAGAAGGGGTAAAGAAAAGTTAAAAAATTAATTTAGAATATAATAAATAAATAAATAAATAAATAAATAATTATTTACTTAAATTAGTTGATAATTAATTTAAATTTTAATTATATTATTTATATTAATTATTTTGTAACAATAATTAGAATTAATAATTATAAATATAATAAACAACCCTTAAGAGTTGTTGAGAGTTGAGAAAAGAAAAGTTTAATTTTTATTATTAAAGAAGTTATGTATAATTACTAAAACTAAAATTATGTATAATTTTTTTATTAAAGAAAAGTTTAATAAACATTTTTACAAAAATTATAATCCTAAAAAATTACATTTATTAAATATTTTAATTAAAAAAGATTAAATTACCCTTGTACTTAACACCATCAATTTTACCATTAGATGGCAGGACTAAAAAAGTCTCATTTGGAGGAGTTGAATGACCAAATTAGTCCCTCAAAATAGCTGGGGGCTATTTTGATCCCTCACAAAGAGTTGAGAGACAATTTTGATCATTTTCTTGTTAAAAATGTGTTGATTGACTTGATAATCATCAGATACAAGATTTTTAGCTTTTCAACATACTTGAGCTTGTTATATTTGTCTCCATAGTTTACAAGTTCTAACTTGTTTACACTCCTACCTGTGGGAAATATGATTGGGGAAGTGAGGAAAATAATTGAAGAAGAAAAGAAAGAGAAGAGGAGAGAAAAAAAAATAATGGAGGAAATATGATTGGGGAAGCCATAAAATTTTTATCGATACCATAAAGATATGGATCCGTTCATTTTTTTTTTTTTGGATTTTTGAAGTGGGTAGCTTTTGGTATTTCTTTATTCATCTCCTTTGAGTTATTCTTTATTTGGTTGACTTGAGAAATTTAAGCCTTCTCTTTCATGTTGACATTAAGAGTACTTAATTTTGGGGAATAGTGTTTTCTTCCACCCCTCATTTGCACTTGTGTGGTTTCTCTTTGGTGAAATGAATCATCTATTCTTTTCCATGAAAATGAGTTTTTTGTATTTGTGATGCTTGGTCATTTTTAATTCCACTTTATATATATCATCGCTTTTTTTCCTACTTTGGGCTTTCACATAAAAGTTAGTGTTTTACTGACAATTTATATTGGAGCTTGATGCGTAATATAATGGCTATAAAGTTTGAGATCTAAACGTTGTAGGATTGAAATTTTTTAGAATTTGGAGAATCAAGATTTATGGTAGTCTAATCCAATAGGAACTTGTGATGTCACTTATACAGCGTGCAAACATGCTTGAGATCATGGTTGAATAATATAATATAGATGTGGATTATAAGTTCTTTCTTTTATAGCAATAAATTTTGCAAATAAGGTCTTGATAGGGTCTTTGAGGAAATAACCACGAAGGTGTTGTGGTTGTTGCACATGATCAAAATCATCTCTAAAAATTTTATTACAAATACTTGCTACAAATGCAGGAAGGTATGCCAATTAAACCATAATGAGTTTAATTCAATTATTTTGGATTGTGGAATATTGATGTGATTGATGATTGGTAATAAGAATAAAAAGTTTCTATTATTATGGTCTTTATCTTTCACTAATAGGTATTTTCATGACACAATGTTGCATGGAAGATATACAGTCAGATTACATGATGTTAAGAATTAACTTTTTTTTGAAGATGTAGTTGCTAAGCTTAAGGTGTTAGGAGATAAAAAGCTACCTTAGGGATTGTTGGTTAGGGGGAGATCTTCTAAGAAGGATATATTTTTAATCATGATAAGATTAATTTTCATGGTATGGTCAAGGAAATTACTTGCATCAATTATTAGAAGAAATGATGGTAAGGGAAAATCCCCGTGTTTTTAAAAGGGTGTAAGCATTCGAATGAAAACTATAATTAGGACAAGTCATTTGATGCTTGTTGTTATAGATTGGTCTAATTCAATTATAAGTTATACTTTTTTTTTAGGATTAATAGAGTTCATAGCACTAATTGGTGGATTTTAGATTCAGCTTGCTCATAGCATATGTTCTTTAATAAGGAGTTATTTTCCACTCATAAGCTGTGTTTGGTTGGCTATATGCAAATGAGAAACAACTTGGTGTGCAAGATAGTTAATTATGAAATTGTGAACTTGGGGGTGGATGATGATGTGATTAAGATATTGGATGATGTTTTGGCATGTATTGGATGTGAGAAAGAATTTGATATCTTTGAGTGCACTCAGTGATGCATGATGCATTTTACAAGAGATGTTGAAGTTCTAAGGTTTGGGTGCACACTACAGGAAAATCGCGTCTTTTCGGCGGAAAAAAACTGAATGTTCAGGCGGATTTCAAAAATTTCCGGCAAAAAAAGTTGCGATGGTAATTTGAGCGTTGGAAAACTTTTCCGTCGTAAAAAAATCCGCCGGAAAATTTTTCCGGCGGAATTTTTTCTGGCGACGGTCCGGCGGAAAAACTCCGCCAGAATAACTTAAAATCAATTAAAAAAAATATTTACTACCCCCAGCCCGTTCCCCACGCTTGCCCAGCCGCCTTGTCCCGCGAGCACAGCCCGTGCCCGCAACTCTCCACGCACCCAGGCCGCCCGGCCCACCAGGCCAGCCCGAACGGGCCCCGCCAGACTGCCCCCGCGCGTCGCTTCCATGGTTCGAACCTTGAACCTGTTGAAAAATTTTGAAGGAGTCTTCCGCTTTGCTGCATTACAAAAAATGATATAATCTGATCTATATTATATTTAAATCATAGTAGCAATAATAAAATCTAATAAAAAGAAATAAATAATAAAATTAATAAATAAGCCATTCAATTAATTATTAATTAAAATAAGTTATTAAATCAATATTTAATTGATTAGTAGTTTAATAACTTATTTTAATTATTTAATTAAGAATAAATTAAAACAAAAATTAAAGTTATTATAATTAAGATATATTATTAAATTATTAATTAATTAAAATAATTAATAATTAGTAATTAATTAAATGAGCTATAAAATTGTTAATCATTTAAATTGCAAAAATAGTTTTTTAGAAATTAGTAAAATTCAAAATCTGTCTGAAAGTCCGCCGGAAACAAATTCGTCGAAAATCAGGCGAAAAACTCGCCGGAAAAGCTACAAAAAACATGTCGAAAATATTTCATTGTAATCCGTCGGAAATACGCCGGAAAATCCGCCGGAAAATCCGTCGGAAATACGCGATTTTCTTGTAGTGGCACTAGTTATCATGAAGGCAAAGAGAGTTAGTAGACTTTGTATTTTGCTGGATGCAACCTCTAGTTAAGCTACTTTAATTTCATCATTCATGTTGGAACACTTTACACTATTATTTACGTATGAAAAGGTTATACTTTTTTTGGAAATAAACAAGGACAAAGTCGAGAGAGATTATTGGAGATGGTTTTATTGCAAAGTCTTCTCTAATAATAATAATAATAATTTTGAAGATTTAGAGGCATAATTTGTTATTTTAGATCATTGAGAATTAAAAGTTAAATTTGATTATATTAAAATAATTCCATAGTATCCTATAAATAAAGTGCCTTAGGTGGCCATGCATGGATTAACATCTTGAGTAAAGGGTTGTGGTTGGGCTTGAATAATTTGTTGTGAGTAGCAAAAGAGTTGATCGTTTTTAGAAATAGACTTAGTGAAGAGAGAAATAGGAAGAGGATGCAAATAAAATTCATTTTTATAATGGTGGAACACTATCTCAATGAACTGAAAGCACTGTTGAGTGTGAAAATTGCACCAGATGCTCTCTTAAGGAGTTTTGAAGTGAGTAATTTTTGATATTTTTCAATATTTTTTTTTTACATCTCTTACGTCATCCTCTATTTTGTAGACTTGAGGGGTTTGGAGCTTCTGTTTTGTGGTGAGGTTGTGTGTATTTCTGTTAGGGACTTTGTTACTTTATTTGTACATTTGTGCAAATTCTTTATTATGGATCAGATCCTCTCTCACCTCTCATAGCTGTAGGCTTGCTTTGACCAAATCATATAAATTTTGGTATCTTTGTTGTGGTTGACCCTTTTGGTATTATTTTGTTGTTCATAGTATTCACTCATAATTGGTGCTTTCACATAAAGTTTGGGTGTTTTTTGTGACGACTTGTTTTAACAGAGTAACTACATTTTAGACATTGGCTGAAACCAGCCATTCCCTTGGCATTTTAGTTCTCTTGAGCTAGCAGTTTTTTAGAGTTTAGAAACTTTGTTACATCCTCCAAGCTATCATTTTATCCTCTATTTTTAATCATGGCTGTGTTTATTGAATTTTAAAATCTGGTTTTGATTTAGGGCATACATCAAAATCCACTCGGCATTTATAAAGGAAGCAGAAAACTCTGCTTCTGGTTTATGAACCTAAGACTACGAGCTCTAGCTCATTTGATTGAATCCGACAGTTCTTTTTTATCTTCTGTAGAGCTTTATCCTAAAATATCAAGCAACACCGTTGTCGGGTTGTGAACTATCATGCACTGGTATTTAGCCATGGCAGTTTCATTACTGATCACCAGCATGTTAGACCCTAAAATGGGTGTATAGCCTTTTGGCTTGGTGGGCTATAACGTTTATTGTCTTTTCAACTTTCCAGTCGTGTAAAGTTTCTGGACTAGTAATAAGAATATTTCATTCAAAGTGCCTCTTATAAAGATTATTGAGGAACTCCTAAGGAAATTTCTTCGTGCTCCAAATGGAAATAGCTTGTCTGTTTGATAACTATTTTATAAAAAAGATCATTGTTTAGATATAGCTTTCTTTTATTTTAATATTTTGTTTTTTTAGTTGCAGCATGTAGTTTTTTCTTATCTTGAATCTTGAACAACAAATTTGTAGGGCAAATTGGGTATGCTCTTGTACCGATGATTGCTCGGGGTGTAATGCTTGGTCCTGACCAGCCTGTTAGGTTGCATTTGCTTGACATTCCACCCGCTGCAGAAGCTCTCAATGGCGTTAAAATGGAGTTGATTGATGCTGCATTCCCACTCCTTAAGGGTAATTTGTTGCTACCTGAAATTCAGTATTCTTTCCCAGCATAGTTTTTTTCTCTCTTAAAATATTTGTCATCAAAGATTGTTTGAAGGTATGTTCTAATGTTTATTTTACAGGAGTTGTTGCTACAATTGATGTTATTGAGGCTTGCACTGGAGTCAATATAGCTGTGATGGTTGGTGGGTACCCAAGGAAGGAAGGTATGGAAAGGAAGGATGTGATGTCAAAGAATGTATCTATCTACAAGTCACAAGCTGCAGCCCTTGAACAGCATGCAGCAGCCGGCTGCAAGGTTCATTTTTTTAATTTTTTTCCTTTTTGGATGCAAAATTTTTGATGCTTTAGCTATGCTTTCTCTTCTTTCTAGTGGCTTCGTCTAGAAATTTACAAGGCTTTGGCTTATTGTCATCTTGGCTGAAGTCTATTGATCTTTTTAATGCCAATTATTTGTGGCCATTCTTTGGACTCTCTTTATTTCCGTGGTAGAAGTACTGATTTAACAATAATTATATGCGAAGTTAGCTTTTTATGATGATACTTTATGGTGTACTTTTCTGTAGGTCTTGGTTGTGGCTAATCCAGCCAATACCAATGCCCTCATATTGAAGGAGTTTGCTCCATCTATACCGGAGAAGAACATAACTTGTTTGACACGGTTAGATCACAACAGGGCACTTGGTCAGATTTCTGAGCGACTAAATGTTCAAGTCAGTGATGTTAAGAATGTCATTATATGGGGGAACCATTCATCTACTCAATACCCTGATGTAAGCCATGCTACGGTGAAAGCTCAACATGGTGAAAAGCATGTCCGCGAACTTGTTGCTGATGATGAGTGGTATGAATAATACATAAGATACTGTTAGGTTTAGTTTGTTTCGTTATTAGTGTTTGGAAGTATTAAATCTCAATTGTAGGAGTTGCATTGAAGTGAATTGGCATTTGCTTGTTTTGCAGTAGCTCATTTCTTGTGTTTGTTTGGATTTTAAGAGGTTTTATTTTTACCCTCTCATATTAATTTTGTATTATTTTATTATTATTAAAAGTATAAGTAATATTTTAGTTTATCATTAGTATTATTAAAATCAAAAAGCAAAACTGAACATGTCTTTATATCCTTCTAGATTGAAGCACACTTCTTACTTTTTTTGGAGATAATTTTCAAGAAGTTGAAATCTATTCCACCACTTTCAACAAACGTTTAAACATTCATCTTGAAGTGAAATTCAATCACTTTGGACACTTACAGTGAACCAAACTAGCGCAACCCGTGCATAATGGTTGTCTTGTGGGTACTGTTTATAGCGTCAAGGAAATCAAGCAATTATGACGCTGCCAATACACTCATGGAAATTTCTTGTGCAGGCTGAGAGGAGAATTCATTGCAACTGTGCAACAACGTGGTGCCGCTATCATCAAAGCTAGGAAACTCTCGAGTGCACTCTCTGCTGCAAGTTCGGCTTGTGATCACATTCGTGATTGGGTCCTTGGGACCCCAGAGGTCATTTTCTTAAGCTGATTCCTTTATTTCCCATACAAATTTATGACACTTCTCTCAATGCAGGCAACTTGGGTTTCCATGGGTGTATACTCTGATGGATCTTACAATGTACCAGCTGGGTTGATTTATTCTTTCCCTGTGACATGCCGTGATGGAGAGTGGTCTATTGTTCAGGGTATGTTTAATTATTCTGTGAATTCTCTAATTAATTACGTACCTGATTTCTGTTGTGTGATTTCTTTTAGTCAATAATTTGTTGTATAGTTCAATGTTATTTTCCTTTTCTGAAGCCTTGAGCTAAAATGTCCGAGAAAAATGAGTCTTTATTCCTGAAGAATTTGCGATAGGAACGGCTGACTACAAGCTTTGATTTATTAACAAAATGGGCCGTTTTTCATCTGTGTATGAATTTAAGGTATGAGAACTCATAATTCATGCTAGGTCCTATAAAGAAAGGGTTGGAAATCCCATCCTTTTAGCAAAAAGTAAAAATATATGGTTCTTAGGATTACATCGGTTTTGTTCATCTCCCAACTCTGATCAATTAAGTTTATGAAACCTTTAAAGCTAGATGAGGGGTTATTGGTTGATATAGATCAGGATTAAACATCGCATTGCTCAATCCTGTTTAGGTATGTAGAAGCTGATTCAGGCTGAATATCTAGGCTAAGCCTAGATTTTGTTTGCTTGAGCTAAGCATATTTAAATATGATTTCAATAGCATGATACTTTCTTCGAATGGACCTTAGATAAAGTGATGTTTAAGATGAATATGTTTTGTATTGGAATGAAATTCTATTCTCGTAGCAATATTATTAAAATATTATGCTCTTTTTATTAGTCATTCAAGATATTCTTTAGAATGATCATTTTATAGAGAATGTTGGACTTCCTATTGTATGGAGTCTTTACTTTGATGTATAGGGAGGTGGTGGCCTAGCCAATGCAAGTGGCAAAAGGAGATGTGATGAAGTTTGAAAAATGGAGAATTGATATTTTATTATTTATAAGAATAATAACTTGAAAACATCTCCCAATGATGTAATATCAAGTTTAATGCTTCTCGTTTTAATATACATTAATTAACCATCTAGCTAGGTAGAGAGAATTTTTGCTATATGTTAAGAGAGTTTAGAGTGGCGAAGTAGTCACAGATTTTGCTGTGGACATATTGAATCTGTTTAATGCTTTCTTAATAGAATTAGCTGAGATAATTTGAACGTACTAATCGGTTTGTCCGGAGTATTTCTCATCCCAAGAATTTTACTTACATTCCTAAGTCATTCAACGTACTAATCAATTAAGCTTGAGATAATTTCAATATATTTTAAATTTGAACCCGCTTAACTATTTCCTAGTGATACAATTTTAGTTCTGGTGCATACCATACATAGCCTGCTTTAGTAAAACCCAAATGCTGAAGCATAAGCAACGTTGGCTGTATTTTATGTCTTTTATTAGTTTAATCTATTTTCTATTCAATATAAAGTCTTTCTGTGCCTTTATTTAATTTTCTTTTATTTCGTTTAGTATATTTATTTTTTATTTTTAGTTTATGCTATATGTTCATACTTGTTCAGGACTCTCAATTGATGAATTCTCAAGGAAGAAGCTGGATGCGACGGCTGAAGAGCTTACCGAGGAAAAGGCTCTGGCGTACTCATGCCTCTCATAAATTATCCCTGAGTCGCCATTCAGCAAGTCAGGTTTTGCACCGTTGAATTTTGAATAAAATAGACTTTTTACTGAAACAACTGGTTTATAAGTTGTTGAACTGCCACCAGTTTTTATTTTCCCTGTGAGATTATGAACTATATATTTATTGTATTTTGATGCACACTGTTGCATACCAGTGAAGGGCGGTGGGCTCTCAGGTGGTAAAAAATGTGTTATCTTTTTAAAACTTACTCTAACCAGACCCTTTACATGGGAATAATGTCATTTTTTCTGTTTGGCACCTCTGGACTAATTGGCCGGTTTTGATCGATAAAAGTATGTGTTACAGGGTGATTTTCTGTAATGTTTTTAGAATATTCTTTGAATAGTTTTTTATTTGAAGGTTTCTTAATATCTTTAAAAAGATCAATACAGTTTTAGATCAGATCAATTGATGACTATATAATAGAGAACAATCACTAAGTTTCAATTATACTATAATTGGAAAAAAAAAAAAACCTTAAAAGAATATTCAAAAGTTAAAAGCCATCCAGGAAAATAAGTTATTAATCAAGCATGAAACAATCAAGTCCAAAAGCAGATTACAGGAGGGATTTCTTACCAGGCTTTCTACTGTTTACTGTTATTTATTTATTTTCTTATAAATTCGTGATCTATCAATGGCTAAAGGTGGTTTTGGCAATCTTTTTTCCGTTAAAATGTATAAATTTTTTTTCTTTTTTCAGTTACCGAAGATTGTTACTTCAATTTATTGCATAAAATGATGCTAATTACCTTAAATAGATGAATTGTGTGTTGTTTGGAATCGTGTTTAGAATTTCATTACAATTACGGCAATTTTGCATTACTTAATATTGTTAACGATATCTGCAATTATAGAAAAAATTGGTACCTAATTGTAATCCTTTTTGTTATTAGTCTAAGCTGTTTCAACAGGTATAGGTCTTTTCATTTTATCCAAATAGATTTTTTGACATTATTTTTTTCCCCCTGTTTTTATTTTATTTTTAGTTAGGGGCTAGTTGGTTGCAAGTGATTATAATTTAGATATATTTTAAATACAACAACAACATCAAGTCTTTATTCCACTACGTGGGGTCGGCTACATGAATCCTTTTTCTCCATTGTGTTCTATTAAAAGTCAAATTCTCGTTTAAATCAAATATAAATTTGGAAGAATTTTTCTTTTTATTTTTTAATATTTCAGTAATGAGAAATATCTAATTAATTTTTATCAATATTAAATACCAACATAAATAAATCTATTTATCCAATCATAAATATACATTTGTATTCATTACTTATAAAAAAATATATACAATAGCTTGGAGTTATACAATCGCAACATACAATATATCTGCTTCGACTATAAAAGAATAATTAAATAAAATAATAAAAAAATTTTGGAGAATCCAGTAACCGTTCATTCTCACACTTTGGATCATCTTCCATGTTCTAAAATTATTTAAACTACATCTAACGGACTAAAAGGCCTAGTAGGTTATTAAATCTTACAATTAAACTCAAAGTAATCATTCATCTCTTATGGGAGGCTTAAATTAAAATCAATGCTAGTACAACACAAATGGACTTGCCTCCCTTGTGATCAACCATTAATCATGTTTGTTCAACTTGAGAACACCAGCACAAGGCTGTCCTATCATGCTAGAGTACCTACTTTACCACAACATGATGTAAATTTTCTTGACATTACAACTTTTATCTATCAATTATATATAGCGTAGCCAAGATGTAATCATCAAATAATTATTAGGGACTTAAGTCAACCGCATCTTGCTGACACCCATCATAATATCATAATGATGAATTATAATGCCTAGTTTGAGAATGTTTTCCCTTAATTAAGGTGTGAGAATTAGCTCCCTTCTAATCAAAATTTTTAGGAGACTTTGCTTCTAACAAAAGCTATCCTTAAACACTACATTACTAAGGGGTTCATGCTACTGAGCATACTCTTATGATTGGGTGTCTTATCCCTACTACGAGCATATATGACTATTATGATGGGGTGTCTTATCTCTATGAGCACATCAAGCACATATGACTATCATGAATATTTAACAAGCATGCATATGATATGCTCATCTATTATATCCTCCCCAGCATCCTCAAACAATAGGCTCGCGCCTAGTTCTACTCTCTCTTAGGAGGGACCATTAACATCTTTGCCAAACTTACTAGCTCTTTATCAAATCATTCATTATAAATTAAAGAATTTTGAAGGACTTCTTTCACTTCTCAAAAATTCACCAAGGCCCAAAAGTAGATCCTAAGAAGCTAAGAGGGTCCTTTCCTTTGAGTGCCTTATCTCATGCCCTTTTACTTATCACAAATATAGGGTCTATATATGAGCATTAGAGAGCATTTGATTCCTTTAAGAACTTTTAATTTTATTTGATGATTAAAACATAGATCCAATAGAGAGTTTTAACACACACACACACACACACATATATATATATATTGGTTTAAACTCACGGAGGGGCCTATCAAAAATCGGTTATATAGTCCTTAAAAGGACCCACCAGCTCACTACTGCTCCGAAGAGCTACAGTAAAAAAAGAGATAAAAAAACCTAGGAGCTGGTAGTTCCTTATCCTACGCTTATATGAAGAGAGACAAAGTCATGTTTCAATCATTTTCGTTCATTACTACAATTAGAAAAAAAAATCTTCTAATCATTATAAGTAACTAAAAAGCTACTTTTATTTTGAGTGATTTTGTTTCTATGATTTAAATCCTCCCCCACAAGAGATAAAAATATATTTTCTCCGAATTTATTAAATATTTATCATATAACTTTATGTATATGATAAATATAATTTATATGGACATTTTGATTGTAATATTATTGAATTTTGCTAGTTATATTGATTGTTATGATTTTATGAGTGATTTGACTAGTTTATTGAATTGTATCTAAGAATGAAATGGTAGCTAAAATTTATTTGTAGGGTATATTTGAGTTGTAGTAAATTAAAGTTTTGGTATAGAATTGACTGGAATATTAGCATGCACTTCATAGTAGTAAATTTGAATTTTCATATGAATACTAAATTTCATGTAAATGATATAACAAGTGCTTGATGAACATTATCATTGCATGTAAGCAAAGAAGGTTAGTTTTTAATACTATAATTAATGTGTGTTGACTCTTAAGACTTAATGACGTGCATAGGAGGATGGTTTGACAAGCTTTCCTTCAAAGATAATTTATGGCATAATCCTGATTAGCTTATAACATATGAGTGTTTTTTTTCTGATGGGCAGATAGTAACGACTCTTTATTGATTATTGAAAGTCGTCTGCAATGCAATGATGATGTTATAAAGATACAATGAATACAATTGAAAGAATAAAAATATCATATTAAAGCTGGATGTCATATCTTGTTGAATAAATCTATATGATATTAACACATGCATTGATTTGCATACATGAAATATTGCATAAGAATACACTCATGGAAATGATAGAGAGTGAATACACTGATGCGACATTCATAAATGACTCTATCAGAGATAGTGGTGATGAATGTATCTGTGGGAGAGAGACTAATGAAGATCTTTAGGTTTTTTTTTAGTTAGGAGCATTGTGATATATTGATGTTGTTGACACATGTATCAGATTTTGATGAAATGAATTTATTGTGAATGATTTTAATTTATATGATTTTCGTTGAGCTAAATTATTGATGAATTTATATCTTGAGGTGTAATAGAAAGCCATTCATACAGAAAGGTATTATTATATGTAAAATTCAATTGGACTATTTTTACTGTCAAATGTATAACAAATTGGACCACTCTTGCAAAGCATATCGAGATCATTGAATTATAGGCTTCTTTGTTCTAAATATTTCTTTCTTAAAATCTATAATTCAGGCCATTCGGGCTAAAGTTAATTTTGAAGATTAATTTGTTAAAATACATTTGACAGTAAATACATTTGTTCTAAATATTTCTTTCTTAAAAGTTATTTCATGAATATAATGTCGGTCACTTAAATTTTAGTGAGCTTATAAGATTGAGAATTATTAGATTAGTTTAATGATTATAAAATAAATTTTAATCATACATACAAAAATTTAATCATACAAATTTATTTCTTTTCATATATGCATATGAAATCTCTTCATAGATATGAAATCAAATAAGAGATTTAAAAATTTTAAATCTCGTCCTTAATTAAATGAAGACCGTCCGGTAATGAGACGACAAATATAACTATCATAAATCCGTCATTGATGGCAGCCAAATGTACATGGGAAAGGAAAAGATATTATAGTTAATGGCTTTCTTACATATCACTATTACATGCATGGTCGACTTGGGCATAGTCGGGCCCACCAGCCGGCCGGCCGGCCAATAATATTATTATGTTAATCTTGTGAAGTCATGCAGCTAATAGTGGACTATTCTTTGCATCTTGCTTATCTAATTTATCCAAGAAATAATTTATTCTCATTTAGTGAGTGGGTGTACGGATTCATAATCTCCTTATTTATTTATTGTTCTAATTAATCATATATATATATATATACATGAATTAATCAAGGCAAAATTATGATTCAATAATTGAAATCGATAACAAATAATATGAATTCGATTTCATTAGAAAGAATCATCGAAGAAATTAAAGAAAAACTTAAACGAAAAATCACTAGTTTTCAACCATGCTCTGATACCACATGTAAGACTTAATAGAGTTCTCTAACTCTTTGCATAAACTCGCATCATAATTTATGTAAAAGAATTCGAAACGAAAAAACTTGATTTTACATAAGTCTTAAATCCTCAAGATCTTAAACAAGATGATTTTCACAATCTTTAATCGGAAGAAAAACATACCTTGATTCATTTTGAATTTGTCGAATTTTGAACTATGGTTTCTCTTCCTTCTCCCTTCACTTTCTTCTATCATGAGTTGATCCTCTATGGAGCAAGATAACTACTCCTTATGAGAGAGAGAGAGGACCAATAGTTATTTCCTACGGATTTTTTCATAATAACCCCTCATGAGAGTTATTTTACAATAACTCATAAAATAACTCATAGGAGTTATTTTACAATAAACACTCATATGAGTTATTTTACAATAACTCATAGGAGTTATTTTATAATAACTCAAAGGAGTTATTTTATAATAACCGCTCATAGGAGTTATTTGATCAAACGGTCCATAAACGAATGATCAAATTATCTTTTCTTGACCAATAGGATTTAAACATAAATAATTAAATTGTAATAATTCAAATATATGGGCCACATAATGATTTATATAATTAAATATATATTCTTAAATAATTATTGCGACGTCTCGCATAATTAATATATTTAATTATTCTAACAAAAAATACAGCATATAGCACTAGAAAAAGCGAGAGAAACTAAATCAGTTTGGAAATAAAATGAAAAGCACAATCCCGAAGGTTGCTGGACTCAGAACCGTCACCTGGTTGCCAGGTCAGGATCATCATTGGAAAAAGAGAAAGCAATAGCCAGAAGACCCAAATAAACAACTAAAACCAAGCAAAATGCTACTAAAAACTGAGTAGTGAATCATCCACCAAAGTTGCTTAACAAGCGAAGCCATTCAAGAGGCGTGCAGGAAACGTGTCTCATCATAGTCCGATTCCAAATTTCCGACGAGTGAAATAGATATACAAATAGCATCCAAAATAACCATTTTAAATAGAGAAGACCGAGAGAGTACTATTTCCAAAGCTCATGTTGTTTCTTTCTCTCCATACATGATAAATAAAGCAGCAAACAGATAAGAAGCCGGCTTGTTTGGCAGAATGCAACAAGTGTTGAATATCATGATCAATAAATTCCAAAAATTAGTTCAAGCTCGATCGGTTTTCAATACATAGATGAGATATATATGTTTATATTCCCAATTAATGGATAAATGAGAATAAATTTAGTTTGCGGCATACTTCACATATATGGGTGTGATAGCAGCAATTACTAAATAACAATTTTATTTAATATTTTAATCACATTAATTAAACGATAATAATGCTTAATATTAAGAATGTCTAATAAAAATAATCCTAGACAAATAGTTAACCTACCGTCTTCCCTTGTATTTCTATGACCGGATATGGCAACCGAGGCAATTGTGGTTCCGGTGATCGACCTCGCCAACTTCCCCGCTGAGCTGGAGAAGCTTGCCGCTGCGAGTAGCGGGCTGGGCTGCTTTCGGGTCATCAACCATGGTATTCCTCTGCCGCTTCTGGCCAAAATGAAGGAAACCACTCGGTCGCTCTTCGATATCCCTGACGACGCTAAGCTACGCAACGTCACCGGCAACTTTGTAGATGGCGGCTACGTTCCGCCTAATTATGTACCCAACGTCCCCTTTTACGAGTCCTTCGGCATCTACAACGCCGCCTCGCCTGCCGACGTCCACTCTTTCTGCTCTCTTTTGGACGCCTCGCCTCTTCAACGGTGCCGTAGCTCGATCGCTAGCTCTTGTTCCTTCATTCATTTATTTTATTTTAATTCTTGCACTTAATGATATGCATGCAGTGAAATCATTGTCGATTATGTCGGGAAACTTCATATCCTAACCATGGATTTAGCTTCTAAAGTAGCAGAGAGTTTGGGCCTTATTGACAAGTACTCTTTTAATGGCTGGTCCTGTCATGCAAGGTTAAACTATTACAAGTTTAAATTTCAAGAGGATATCGGCTGTATTGGTGTTCCTACTCACACAGACTCTGGCTTTCTAACGGTCGTGCAAGAAGATGAGTGTGTTGGTGGGCTAGAGATTGTAGATGCCAATGGCAACTTTATATCCGTCGATCCTCTTCCAGGAACTTTTTTCGTTAATATAGGTGATGTCGGAAAGGTAATTAATCTTTCTAATTAACCTCTTAATTACATTTTAAAAACGTTAAGAAAAGAAAAATGGTTGACAAAAAAATGTACGCCATGCATGTGTATATGATCATCCAAGGCCTGGAGTAATGGGAGGCTTCAGAATGCGAAGCACAGAGTGATCTGCAAGAAAGCCATGCCACGAATCTCCATCGTTCTGTTTCTACTCGCACCAGAAGATGACAAGATCGAGCCTCAAGCTGCCTTCATTGATATTGATCACCCAAAACTTTACGAATCGTACATCTACAATGAATATCGCATGCAGAGAAGAATAACAGGTCTTAGGGCAGGTGAGATCCTCCCTGTCTTGACTGCAGATCATCAAGCAAAGATGCCTTGAATCAAATATATAAACTTTAATCTACTGGATTATATTAATCAAATATGTATGTCGATTTGCCATTAATGTTGTCCAATGTCGTAATTGTAGCACAAATGCCTAATTTTAATTTCATTCAATAAATGTTGTTTGAACCTCTTTATCACAAATTAATTTGAAAGCAAATGTATTGGGTTCATAGCATTGCTAGCTGGAGTATGATAAATCAAAACGTATATTTAGATTGTTGAAAATGCATTATCTTATAAAAAAATAAATTATAAAAGACGTTAGAATGCTTAATTTTTTTCACTTAGGCACATATATGTGGTTGACAATTAAGAAGACAGCCGCTTGGATTGAACACGAGCTAAAGTCTGTCTTCAAGCCGCTTGGACTATGAAGACAGCCGCTTGGAAGGGGATCAAACTGTTGCTCGCCATGTCTCCAAAAAGAAACTTCAGCTATGATACCACTTTGTGGAAAAAATAAGAGGCTATTGTAAAAGGAGTATAAATTCTAAAAGAGAACAGGAACGTATGTAAAACTCACTTTTATTTCACTCTTAAACTTTTTGATTCTACTTCATACAAAACTCAAAGGCATGACACCTATTTATATTAGTGACTGCTCCACTAGGATTGCGCCAACACACTTCAATCCAATAGCTACTATTGACTCTCTAAAATATTCTCCTATCGATCTTCATTTACATAAGTCATTAATTACATATTCTAGAATTTTCTAAATAATTCTTTTAGAATGTATTTCTATAATATTATAAAACATTCTTCATAAAATATGATTCTAAAATTTTCAAGGACTTTTCTAGACTATGGTCTCAATTAAAGTCCCATTCAATTAAAATGCCCAATTAATTAAGTTTATTTTTCAACACAATCATATATGTAAAAGAATTGTGTCTTGTGTGGAAGTTTTCCATTAAAAACAAAGATGAGTATATTCATAAGAAAAATGCATGTGAACTGTGAGAAATTATCAGAAAAAATTAAGATAGAGCTAAGCTATATATATATGTATATGTACAGACAATGCCAAGAATTAACATATATGCATATATCAAAATTGAGATCTAGCACAAGGCTAAGGTTTCGTTTGGGATAATTTTTTTATTGATTCTTGAATCAACTTTTTATTATAATAATTTTAATTTTTTAACTAAAAAACTATTTTAATTCAAAAACGGTTTAGGGTATAGGACTAAATAAACTAACATATATCTTTTCTCATATAATTATAAAATATATGAGAGAAATAGTGCAAGAAAGAAACAGTGAGCGACTGCACCTGCACCAGGACTAGATGCAAGCAAGCATAACTATTTAAGAGAGATTTAAAAAAAAAAAAAAAAGTTTTTAAGCGGTGCAAATTTTCAAAGTTAAAACCCGCCCTACAGTATAGACGAGCTATATATATAATATTGCATAAATATTGCCATTGCCCATATGAAGTCAAGCCAAAAAAAGATGCCACAAACTAATTAAACTACGGATCAACGTGCAGCTGCCGTCTGTTCGAATAAATATATATTACAAACTAAACTAAACTAATCTAAACTACGGACCAACAGCTGCAAATCACAACAAAAGTTATTTATTTAAAACTTTAATAATTATCTGTATTTGTTTTAGATGAAATAATAAAGAATTCTTAAACATCATCATTGAAGAAACCGAAGACAGGGAGAAGAAGAACAGAGATAAAGAACTGTACAGAAAATGATTTGTATTTCATATGTCCACTGTTACAATAATGACCGATATATATAGTGTTAAGTATAGATAACAAGTACACGTGTAAAGCTATGATTGGAAAGCAAGATTAGTTATTTAAGTTGTCTGCTCTAAATTTCCCCCGCAAGCTGACGAGTAGGTGCCAACAGTCAGTTTGGAGCGGAGAACTTTGAACCGATTAGCGGATAACGGTTTTGTGAGTATATCCGCAAGTTGATCTATTGTGCTGACTGGAAGCAGTTTGATATGTTTTTGCTGTATATGGTCACGAATGAATCTCTGATCAATTTCGATATGCTTTGTTCTAGCATGAAAGATAGGGTTATTTGCCAAAGCTATAGTAGACATGTTGTCACAGAATATGTCTACCGGGTTGGACAAAGTGATGCGGAAGTCCAAAAGTAATTGTCTGATCCAAAGCGTGTCCGCCGTGGCTGCTGCCAAAGCCCGGTATTCTGATTCCGTGGACGATCGAGAGACGGTAGATTGCTTTTTAACTGTCCATGAAACTAATGTGGTGCCGAGAAAAGTGCAATAACCCGACGTGGACTTCCGGGTGACTGGGTCGGATGCCCAGTCGGCGTCCGAAAAGGTTCGGAGCTGAAGGTTTGATCTGGTTATGGGTATACCGAGGTCTGTAGAACCTTTGATATATCTTATCAACTTCTTGAGCATTAGAGTGTGTTGCGGAGCCGGATCGTGCATGTGTTGTGAGAGAACATTGACTGCGTAAGCAATGTCTGATCGAGTCAATGTTAAATACTGTAGGAAGCCTATGATACGCCTGTACAGTGGTGCGTCAAAGCACGATTGATCATCCGTTTCTGTAACAATGGGTTTAGAAAAGGATGGGTTAGCGACCGAATTGCAATTCTGCAATCCGGCCATTCGGTATGTCCATTTTGAGCTGATTATGGATCCGTTTGAAGGTGGCGGTACCAACTCCCAAGTACCCTGTTTATGGAGGCTTAAAATTCGTCTGCCGTTGCATTTCTCCATTCAATTTTCTTGCAGGCTTCATTGTAGGTTGTAGGATCACTTGGAGTTTGTTCCTGATGAAGAAGATTAAGCCTTTGAACTGGTTTAAGTGTCCCGGTTCTAGTACGCGTGGTCATAGGATGAGTATTGTGATGAGTAGGTACTTCAGGCGTTGCCTGACTGTTGTTATGAATATTGTTAGATTGTACAGCAGGAAGAACACAGTGTGGTAGCGGCATGTCTTGCTGTTTATTAAGTTGAGTGTGTTGTTGTATTGTAGATGCGGGAATGAGCAGCGAAGGTGGTATGTTGGTTGTGCCCATAGGAATGTGGGAGGACCTGTTGATGCAAGGAAAAATAGTCTCATTAAATTTGACATGCCGAGAGACTACAATATTACCTGTGACCGGATTAAATAGCATTTGTAGCCTTTCATGCTATCGGAATAACCCAAGAAAATACACGCGATAGATTGTGGTGTAAGTTTGGTTCGATTGATCGGAGGCAGCAGTGGATAGCACTCACAGCCGAATGTTCTAAGGTGATCATAGGAAGGTGTAATGTTGAACATTCATTGTAGCGGTGACAGATTGCCGGTGGTTGTGGATGGTAGGCGATTGATAATATACGTGGCAGTGGAAGCGGCATCGAGCCAATGTACCATTGGTAGACTGGCTGTTTGAAGAAGAGTTCTCGTTGTGGTAATGATGTGCCGATGTTTTCGTTCGGCGATTCCATTTTGCTCCGGAGTATATGGGCAAGATATTTGATGCTTGATTCCGGCGTTCTTTATGAAGTCTTGAAATCTCTTGTTTACAAACTCACCTCCGCCATCAGTTCTTATTATTTTAAGCTTTCGAGAGGTGTGCCGTTCAATAAACTTAACAAATTGAATGAAAACATTAGTTACATCAGATTTATACATGAGAGGTAAAGCCAAGTAAACCGAGAAAAATCGTCTATGAAGATTACATAATATTTGAATCCTTGTTGAGAGGAAACAGGGGATGGTCCCCAAACGTCAGAGTGAACCAGATCTAGAGGGGCGTTAGTACTAGTAATAGATCGTTCAAACGGTAGTTTATGAGTTTTACAAGAATTGCAAGAATTACATTGAAATTTAGACAAAGAAATATGTAAGGATGGATTAACATGAGAAATATGTTGTAAAGTCCTGTAATGAGGATGTCCGAGCCTCAGGTGCCAAGCGTAGGAGGAACTGCTTGTGGCCGAGAGGGCTTGAGGCTGCTTAGTGATAGTTTGAGCTGCAACTTTGTATAATCCATCTTTGCAAGGACCACTAAGTATGATTTGATTGGTCACTCGATCCTTAAAGAAAAAACCGTTAGCATCAAAAGTTATAGAAATAGGATTATCTTTTACAAGATTAGAAATAGACAATAAATTGTAAGATAATGATGGTATGTGTAAAAGACGCGATAAGAGAATCTTACAGGACGGGGTTGGAAGGATGCCCGTCCCTGCATGACTAATTTGGACGGACCTTCCATCCCCAATAGTAACCATGTCATTGCCGTTGTAGGTATGATAGCTTGCCATATTGTCGGTAGTGTTGGTCATGTGCGAGGACGCACCCGAATCAATATACCACTCCGTGGCTGGGTTGGCATCATTATTGGCAAGAAGTGCGCTCGGGTTCTTGGACGGTGGTTGAGATGGAGTATAGTTGATATTGAGACGATGCCAGCACGCGTCAGCCATATGTCCTTTCTTTTTGCAAATTTGACAGATAACGACTGAGGTAGAATTTGGTCTTTGCGCCGTTGAGGACTCATGTGTTTGCTTGCCGCGACCTCTCTTTGGTCTACCACGATAGGCATAAAGAGCGGCATTGTTGTCGGGCTGCTTTTGAAATTTTAGAGCAGCAGATTTAAGATGTATTTCCTCACTAATAAGAAGGGCATACAAGTGATCAAGAGTTAGAGTATTTTGCATCGTTCGAATGGTTGTAGTGAATGATTGGTAAGACGGAGGTAGCCCATTTAGGATGTATAGAATCACATCTTCGGAATCTACCGTCGAGCATGCCAAGGCGATTTGATCCACGATCTTCTTGATCTCAGTAAGATACTGAGTCATGGACAAGTTTTGCATGGAAATGTTGTGAAGCTCATTCTTGAGCTGAATAACCTTGGATCGATTGGTTGATTGGAATCGGATTTGCAGCGTCGACCAGATTTCATTTGTTGATTCAAGGTGAATCACATATGGCAAGATCTCCGGCGATATAGTAGAGCACATTGCCGTGGCAAGATTTTGATCCGTGATTCGCCAATTTCTGGATTCTTGATTTGGATGTGCGTTCTCTGCTGCCGATTTCGGATCAAGATACTCCGAGAAGCCATTTGCTTTGAAGAGTTTCGCAATTTGGGTGCTCCAAATGGGGAAGTTGTCCGGAGTAAGGGAATGGGGAACAAGAAGTTTTAAGTTGGAGATAACGAACTTGAGTTCTGGAGAGATTGTCGGAATCGTCGGACCAGTGTTGGCGCCGAGGGACGTTCCTATTGATGAGAAAATGGCTTCTTGGTTCGCCATGAGAAAGGTCCTCAGAAAATCGCTGAGCCTCTTGATATCATGAAGAAACCGAAGACAGGGACAAGAAGAACAGAGATAAAGAACTGTACAGAAAATGATTTGTATTTCATATGTCCACTGTTACAATAATGACCGATATATATAGTGTTAAGTATAGATAACAAGTACACGTGTAAAGCTATGATTGGAAAGCAAGATTAGTTATTTAAGTTGTCTGCTCTAACAATCATCATGTTCATTAGCTGTATCCCATCATCCATTTCCCTGGCATCATCATCATCATCAATAAAATCATTTTTTATATATATATCAATGTAATTTTAAGATTTTTCTTTTATTTTCTCACCCAAACTCGATCCCTAATCTTAATTTGAATATATATTCTCCTAAATCATTCATTGAGCCATTATACCATAAATTAAGCATAAGAAAATAAAAATCATTATAACTCCCCAAAAAATAAGAAGATCGAAAATGTTGACTGAATAACGTCCTTTAACAAATCAAACCTACAGTAAAATATGAGGAGGCAAAGATGAATGCAACGCTCTCCAAACGTAGAAAAAGCATAACAAATTCTAATACCGTGAATATTTAAAAATGCATCGAGATCTACGTAGGACAGCCAGATCATATATAGTCGATGGGCATTGATTTATAAATCAGAGATCGTCTTTGCTTCGATCGTCCTCTGTTTTGAAGGCATGGAGGGTCTCACCTGTTCTAAAATCAAATGTATTTCTCTGCTTGCGATAAACATTGTAAATGAATGTTTTGTACAGCTTCGGGTGATCCGTATCAATAAATGCAGGCTCAGTCGCTATGGAGCCATCTTTTGGGGCAAGTAGAAACAATGCGATGGAGATTCGTGGCATGGCTTTCTTACAAACCACTCTATGCTTCACGCTTTGCAGTTTTCCATTGCTCCAAACCTTCACCATATGCAAAGACAAACATTTTTGTCAACCATGCTTTTATATTTCTTTTACATTTTTGGAACTGAGAAGAGAGAGATTTCAATACCTTGCCGATATCTCCTATGTTAACAAATAAGGTTCCTGGCAGAGGATCCATGTCTATAAAGTCGGCATTAGCGTCCATGATCTGGAGGCCACCAACACATTCATCTTCTTGCAAGACGGTCAGAAAACTGGAGTCTGTGTGTGCAGGAACTCCAATACGACCCACATGCTCTTGACAAGCAAACTTGTAAGAGATTAATCTTGCTTGACAAGTCCAGTCCTTGAAAGAGCAGCCATTCAGGCCCAAACTCTCGGCTACTTTCGAAGCTATTTCGATGGTTACTCCGTGAAGTTTCTCAAAATAATCGGTAATAATTTTACTGTATGCATCGTTTTATAGGAACACAATTAGTAGTACAGTTTTAAAAGAAGATAAATTTCTCGGAAAGAATGAAGGAGCATATATAGCAAGCACACCGTTGCAGTGGCGAGGCGTCCAAAGTAGAACAAAAAGAGTGAACGTCGGTCGGTGAGGCTACGTCGTAGATGCCGAAGGACTCGTAAAATGGGGATTTCGGTGAGAAAGTAGGCGGCCTGTAGCCCCCATCTTCCAAATTGTGGATGACGTTACGCAGCTTAACGTCGGCAGGGATCTCGAAGAGCGACCGCGCGGCTTCCTTCATCTTGGCCAGAAGTGGCATAGGCATACCATGATTGATGACCCGAAAGCAGCCAAGCTCAGTGCTCGCCGCAGACAGCTTCTCCAGCTCAGCGGGGAAGTTAGCAAGGTCAATAACCGGAACCACAATCTCCTGATCTTTTGCCATTACTGAACAGGGATTTGGATTACCATTCAGCTTTCAGACCGTTTACGAATGTGATCCAAGTAACAGGTAATGAAATGAAATTTGAATGATAAGAGGATGAGTTATCATAGCAGCCTGTCAAAATAAATCTAAGATTTTGAAAGCGTCGGTGACAGCTAATTCAGAATAAAGGAGTGCTGGCTCTTGACAGGTTTAGGAGAAGTGTCTCTGCTCTTATTTTGAATATTTGATTTTCATATCTAAACCCAAAATAATATCGTTACAGTTTTATATAATTTTTATTTTTTCATGAACTACCCAAAATGATAATTGAATGCTAGAGAACGTGTTAGATATGTGAAGAGATAAGGATTCTATGATATATGTAGGTAAATCCACATATTGAATAATATTGTTGATCCTTATCATTCAAACTAAGTGTAAAAAAAGGACGAACCAATCAGCGTGCAGGTTGACACAACACACCACTTGAAGGTTCAAAAGACCTCTGATTGCCAAACAGATTGTGTCGTTACGATCAGAACATCGAATTCTCCTAGGTCGAGACCCTTTACAGCCAAATCATGCAAAATCGGAACGAAGGGACGATCGACATCCGTAATTGACGACGAGTGATGTCCGATCGCGAAACGAATTGCATTGTTGTAACCGAAACATTGACAAGCCTAAGATTCATTATCAACTTGCCCAAAGAAAACTACGAGGTGAAATTGATGCATATATCGAGGCAATTTCTAAGGCGATTGCACACATTTTGAGACGAATACACCTTAATCGAGACCTCTTTGGGATAATTATCACACTCCAACTATTTTGATTTATTAGTAAATTTAATAATTTTATTTTATTATTTAATACTATTGTTAAATCTAACAAAATCAATATATATATTATCACATGCACTCCAACTATTTTGATTTATTAGTAAATTTAATAAATTTAATATATATATTTTGAATTAATGCAAAATTAGTTTATTATATTTTTATTAAACCAAAAGGTGTTAGTGAAACATTGCTTGCTATGTCGGCTTGCTTTATCTTAGTTTCGTTTAAAATTGTTGTTTTGTGTGTGTTAAAAGGGCTGTAAGAAAAAAACTGTTGCTACTACTGTTTTCCTCTATTACGTTAAGCATTTAAGCATTTTTCTCATTTTTCCTCTGTTAAGCGAAGCCTTATCTTTGTCTTTGCTTTTCTCCAATTTCTCAATTTTCTTCAACATTGTGGTATCAGAGCCTGGTTTCGATTGAAGTGGGCGTCAAATTTCTGAAGTGAAGTAAATTTTTAGAAGATCTTGTGTATTCTTCTAAAAATAATGTGAGTGATTCTGATTCAAGTATTGTGAGAAATTTTTCATGGCAATAAGCACTTCTTCTCAACCTTTGATTCCCATCTTCAATGGTGAGAAGTATGAGTTTTGGAGTATCAAAATGAAGACCTTGTTTAAGTCACAAGATTTATGGGATCTTGTGATGAATGGTGTGCAAATTTGAGAAGATGAAGGGAGAAATAATGATAACAAGAAGAAGGATTCAAAGGCTTTATTTTTCATTTAACAAGCTATGGATGATAATGTATTTTCAAGAATTTTTATGGCAGAGACATCAAAGGAAGCTTGGGATATTTTGGAGAAAGAATTTCAAGATTCTATAAGATTAAAGACAGTAAAGTTGCAATCTATGCGATGTGATTTTGAAACTATGAATATGAATGAAGGAGAAGGTGTTCAAACTTATCTCTCCCGGGTATCAACAATTGTGAACAAAATGCGATCATTTGGAGAGCAAATATCTGATGAGAAGGTAGTCTCCAAAGTTCTAAGGAGTCTTCCAACAAATTTTGAACATGTGGTGGCTGCTATTGAAGAATCTAAAGATCTTGCTGTGTATTCTTTTGATGAAATGATGAGTTCGTTGATGTCTCATGAGGAGAGAATAAACAGAAGAGAATTGAAGACAGTTGAAAAGGCATTTCAAGTGAAGGAAACTTCAACTAGTGGCAACAAAAAAGGAGGTCGTAGTAGAGGAGTATGAAATGCTTATAGAGGAAGAGGTGGTCGTGGTGCTTTTCTTGGAAGAGAATCTTATGAAGATAAAAGATCAAGTGGAGGTCAAAAGCAATGCTATTATTGTAAGAAGTCTGGTCATATTGAGACAAATTGTTGGAACAAATAAAGGAATCAAGAAGGAAAAGATAAAGTGTAGTGTGATTTTTGTAAGAAGTTTGGACATTCAGAAGATAAATGTTGGTCCAAACAAAAACAAGCCAATGTTGCAGAGAAGACAACAGATCAAAATAATCTGTTTATGACACATTTCCAAGGTGATTGTAGTAATTCAGAAATTTGGTTCCTTGATAGTGGTTGTTCTAATCACATGACTGGAATGAAATCTCTTTTCAAAGAGATTGATATGTCAAAGAAATCAGAAGTTAGATTTGGTGATAATAATATTGTTCAAGTTGAAGGAAAGGGGAGCATTGTTGTTGGGACAAATGATGGCAAGGTAAAGCTATTACATGATGTTTTGTATGTTTCAAAGCTTGCACATAATTTACTAAGCATTGGGAAATTAATTGATAATGGGTATAAAGTTAAATTTGATGAAAAGGCTTGTAAAATTGAAGATAAAAAAAATAAGCAACAAATTGCAATAATTCAGATGGCTCCCAATAAAATTTTTCCACTTAATATTTCAACAGTTCAAGAAAAAGTTTTGATAGCCAAGAAAATATTTGATGCAGAATTATGACATTTTAGATATGGTCATTTATATATGGATGGTTTGAAATTATTGTATCAAAAGAAGGTTTAAGGTTTGCCTAAAGTGGACTATGGTGGTATTTGTGAAGCATGTGTTATGGGAAAGCAAACTAGAAAGCCTTTTCCATATGAAAAATCATGGAGAGCAAGAAGATGTTTGGAGTTAATCCATGCAGATTTGTGCTGCCCAATGAATAGATCATCTCATGGAGGGTGTAAATATTTTCTTTTATTTGTTGATGACTATAGCAGAATGAATTGGGTGTATTTTTGAAGCATAAATCATAAGCTTTTAAAAAAATTATGCATTTTAAAGCATTTGTGGAGAATCAAAGTGGTAAGAACATTAAAACTCTACGCACAGATAGAGGTGGAGAATTTATATCAAATGAGATTGTCAAATTTTGTGATAAGTATGGAATCTTCATGCAATTAACTGCTCCAAATACACCACAACAAAATGGGGTCGTAGAAAGAAAGAATAGAACTATTGTAGAAATGGCAAGAAGTATGTTGAAGATAAAGAATTTACTAAATGCTTTTTGGGCTGAAGCTGTTGCAACTGCTATTTATATTTTGAATATTTCTCTGATAAAAGCTGTTCAAAATATTACACCTTATGAAGCATGGAATGATAGAAAGCCTGTTGTCAGTCATTTGAAAATATTTGGAAGTATTGCCTATGCATTGGAGGATGGTCACAATAGAAGCAAGTTGGATAGCAAATCTAAAAAGTTGATATTCATTGGCTACAGCATTCAGCCAAAGGCATACAGATTGTTTGATCCACAATCTGAGAAGCTCATTATCAGTAGAGATGTTATTTTTGATGAAGATGGTATGTGGGATCACTACAGGAAAATCACCCATTTCCGGTGGCTTTTTCTGGCAATTTTGTAGTTTTCCAGCGGTTAAATTACCGCCGGTAAAAACGGCGTAGGAAAAGAAATTTCGGCGATTTTTACCGACGGCAAATTATTCCGGTGGCTTACCGGCGATTATAAACCGCCGGTCAAATTTAAAAAAAAAAACCCTCACCGCTCCGAGCCCCCGCGCTCCCGCTTCCGCGTTGCTGGCGCGCGCCAGCGTCCCGTGGAAAATTCCGCTGAAAATCAGTGAATTTCCTGTAGTGGATTGGAGTGAATCCATAATTCATGATAAAGGAAAAGAAACAGTTGAATTTGAGGAGAATCATCAAATTTTTATCACTAACAATCAAGAAGTTAGTGATGGTTTATCATTTAATTCATCTTTGTTAAGTCCAAGATCAGCAGATTCAAGCACTTCTAAAGAGAGGCATCATTGAAAGATGAGATCTTTGCATGAGTTTTATGATTGTACATTTGATCTTATGGTTACAGAACCATTATGTTATGAAGATGCTTGTGAAAAATAAGAATGAGAAAATACCATGAAAGAGGAGATTCAAAGTGTTGAGAAAAATAATACTTGGGGGCTTGTTGATGTGCCATAAGGAAAAGATCCAATTGGTGTAAAGTGGATTTACAAAGTGAAGTACAATTCAGATGGAAGCATCAAAAAATATAAAGCAAGGCTTGTTGTCAAAGGGTATGCCCAAAAATATGGTATTGATTTCTATGAAATATTTTCTCCTGTTGCTAGATTTGAAACTGTTGGACTATTGCTTGCATTAGCTGAACAAATGAAGTGGAAGGTTTTTTAATTTGATGTTAAATCTGTGTTTTTGAATGGTGATTTGGAAGAAGATAACTATATTGATCAACAACAAGGTTTCATTATTAAAGGCAAAGAGGAGAAATTTTACAAACTAAAAAGGCACTTTATGGGCTTAAACAGGCACCAAGGGCATGGTATTGGAGGCTTGATTCATACTTCCAAAAGAAGGGATTTCATAGAAGTGAAAGTCAGCCTACTTTGTATGTGTTGGCTAAAAATGGTGATTTTCTTATTGTTTGTGTTTATGTGGATGATATTATTTATTATGGATCTTTTAATGTGTTAATTGAAAAGTTCAAGGCTGATATGATTAAAGAATTTGATATGACTGATTTGGGGTTGCTGCACTATTTTTTGGACTTACAAATTATTAAAGCAGATGATGGAATTTTTATATCTCAATTCTTAACTTTAATTTAGTTAGTTTTACTGATAGTGATTGGGCAGGTTCCATAGAAGATAGAGCACAAGTGGATTCATATTCAATCTAGGGTTTGGAGCAATATCCTGGAGCACAAAGAAGCAAGCAAGTACTGCATTGTCATCTTCATAAGCTGAATATATTGCAGCTTCATCGGCAGCATGTCAAGCAATTTGGATGAGAAGAATATTAGAAGACTTTCATCAACCTCAATTAAAGGCGACAGATATATTTTGTGACAATAAATCCACAATCTCTATGACGAAGAATCCGGTGTTTCATGGTAGATCGAAGCACATAGAGCTCCGACATCATTTTGTAAGAGAAGTTGTGGCTAAAGGAACTATTGCAATCAAGTATTGTTCTACTGAAGATCAAGTTGCTGATGGATTCACAAAAGCTCTTAATTTTAAAAAATTTGAGAGATTTAGATCAAATCTTGGTTTAGGAATTTTGCATTAAGGGGTTGTGTTTGAATTAATGCAAAATTAGTTTGTTATATTTTTATTAAACCAAAAGGTGTTAGTGAATATTTTGAAATCAATGGGATTACCTCGTTTCAGTCGAAACTTCTGATCAAGTCCCCGAAAATCCGCAGCAAATCCCGTTAAGATCTCTGGCGAGAAGATTTCGGTTAAGCAAGAAAGAGATCTGATCTTCTGAAGAATCCAACTGTCCGACCCTCTTCCTTGCGTGAGTTTGCGACTTCAGCACCGTCTGATTCTTTGCTCACTCGCTGCTGAACGCCCCTATCCTCCTCACCGACGACCAGTTAAACTCTGTACTGAGATCCCTCGGCAACCCTTGTACTTCAAAGTCCTTCTTCCAACTTCACTTCCTTAATTCCTAGCAGCAAGACAGCAACTGACTTCCACCAAGCTTCAAGTACACCGCAGCTGCACCGGCCTCAGTTCCGACTCCAAACCCCACCAAACTTTGCACCTGACGTACACGAACTGCAGCTCTCTACCATTGATCTTCTCCACCCAATCGCAATCCAAACCTTCACTCTTGCCGAGCTCCAGTAATCAAAGTTCCGATCTTTCCGATTCCACTTGTTTCTAAGCCGAACTTCTCTAAACGCCTCTCACAACTTCTGAATATTTAAGCTTGAGCATCCTATTCGGCCAAGGACAATCTCTCTCTGATACTTCTTATTTTTTTAAGCAAAACTAGTCCTCTCTTCTCAATCTCTCACGCCAAATCTGAACAAAAAAAAAAAACTGCTTTTTTCTTAATAGCTAATAGGAAGCTAACAACTTAATTGCTTTTTTATTTTTTATCATGCACGTGAAACGCATTCAAGTGTTGGCCTTCTCCTCAATATTAGGAGAGATTCCTTCCACCACCTTTAATTCCATTTATTGATATTAGTTACTGCTATATCAATTAGCCGCTATTATTAGTTAACAGTTAACTATTATTAACTTTAGATATTATTGTAACGATTAATTATTTTTGTAAATATTTGTTTGATAATTTTTGCTACTGTTATAATTGTAAAAAGAATGAGAAGTTTTAAACAGTGGATTTTTTCTTTTCAAGTAGATTGGCTATGGATATAAGATCAGTATAATTGTATGGCTATTATTGTTAAGCAATGTCAGTAGAGGTAAAGCCTCAACCATTGTTATGTGTTTATATTATAACAGTTATGTATATTAAAACTTATATATATATATATTATAAATATATATATATATATATTAATATATATATATATTAACTGTTATATATTTACTAGTTAATTAATGTTAATTACGTTTTTTCTCTAGTGTGGTGGGAAGGGACAAATATATACTCTATTTTTTTTTGAAACAGGTGCTTGAGGACCCATACATGGCTTTCTCCGGCGTGGTAGAATTAAAAACTTTTTGGCCACGGTGTCACCCAACACCTACCGTACATGCTTTTCTTTATCGTGGCAGGAGGCCTAGTTTCCTATAGTTTTCCCTAAACAAGAGAGACACCGAGAGACTGCCTGATCTTTCAGCAAACAAAAGACCTAATTTGGACAAATTGAATTTGAACTTGGGCTCAAATTTGAGCGAATAAAATGACCTTAATTCAATTCAAACAATAATCAAACTTGCAAACTTGAACGAATTATAGGGGACTCGGATATGCATTTAAGCTTGAATTACTTGGACAACATGGAACTTGAATTTGATTTGAACCAAACTCAAATGAACAAGTGGATAGTGATCACATTGAACTTAACACAAGCTTGGACCCAATTGGATGATATGAAGCATAATTTAAAACAAAAAATTATGATTTGATAAAGTGGCAACATGCAAACAAGGGCCAAGTAAAAAAAAAGGTACAATGAAATGTTTATAACTAATGACACAAAATCTTCTTTGAAAATTTAGAATCCGTGACTTCAATTGGATGACAAATACTAATGACCAATGGTGTCAAGCTCACCATACATGTTGCAATCTATTTTAATTGTAAGTATAATTTGATTCTAAATAACAAAAGATTGTGGGAATATGGCTTAATCATAAAGCTATGGTATGAGGGGATCATTTTGGATATCATGATAGTCCACTTGAAATGGTGACATGATACATCCCTAAGCAACAATTGAGAGGTATTGTAAGGAATATAGTAATCTACCTATGAGTTACAATGCCAAATCTTCAATGAACATTAAGGAATTGTCATTTTAATTGGAGTGTAAATGTCATCAAGTAAACTCTTCATACAAGATTTGAGTCACCCTCCTATGACAGTGGGAGACTTGCAATATTCAACATGGCTCATTTACATGCAATAATCAAAGGATTGGTGATTAGTAATTTTTACATACCACTTGCTTGCAAGTGACGAGTAATGAAAATTATGGAGAACTCATGTTGAGCTTTGGCTTGCATGATTTGTTGTTTTTACTCACAAGCAACAATCAATATGAATGTGATAAATAAAAGAGAAAAGAAATATGCAAGTTTTACATACATGAACTGATATACTAAACTCCTACAAGCAACGAAACTGAAGGGTATCCGCAAGGAACGTATTATAAACTTAGTCCTTGGAAAATGGGATCATTCCCCATCCTTCACAAAATTAATGATAATGCATATGTTATCGACCTCCCACCCGATGTCCACACTTCGCATACATTCAATGTAGCTGATATTTATAGTTATCATCCACCAGACAACATACACATTTCAAAAATCTCATTGGAGTCAAGCTTCTGATCAAAACCAGGGGAGACCTGATGTGGCCATCCACACACCCAACGTGTCTGTATCTAGATACATTCCACTTCCTCCTAACGACCCATTATCCTTACTGCTACTTTTACCTTTTTGGCATAATTACTGATGCAGATCATCTTACCTGTTGCGAATCATCTTAGCCGCAGGGAGTATCTTATGATTCCATTATGCATAGTCTTATTATTGCTTTATTAGTTGAATCTCTACTACTTTCATTTCCCTTTTAAAAGCTAATAGTACTAGGCAACTTTCTGTTAAGGGTTCTGCTTTTAGCCTTTCGTCTTTATACAAAAGTTGTATTTCTTTAGTTTCTCGGTAGAAAGAAAATATACTCCTCTGTTTGTTGCCAAGCAATCCTTTTCCTTGTTTTGTGTTACCGTTCTATTTGTTTATCTGCATGAAACTTCCTCTACCGACTACCTACGTCAGTGTTGGTATCAGAGAGTTGAGGGGGAGGAGGAAAAAGTTGAAGATGAAGAACAGAACCTTGCAGTGGAAGAAGTGACACCGGATACTGGCGAGCCGTTGATTTACATCATGGAGAAGATGCTACTGGCACCTCGACAAAGAAATGCTGTTTTCAAAACCAGATGTACGATCAAAGGAAAGGTATGTGATCTATTAATTGACAGCGGGTGCACAAAAAATGTCATTGCTCGCTCAGTCGTTCAGGCTCTACAGCTCAAAACTACTAAAAATCCTAGTCCATACAAGATCGGCTAGGTCAAAAAAGGGAAAGACATCTAAGTTTCTGAAATGTGTCGAGTCACATTTTCCATTAGTATGCATTATGTATGCGAAGTGTTGTGTGACATCCTTGATATAGATGTATGCCACATCATTCTGGGGCGTCCATGGCAATTCGATGTTGCTGCGATCTATGACGGGAGATCAAACTTGGCCTTTGTAGCGGGTATCACTAAATACGTATCCGACCAGGCGACGAGTGGAAGATCGCATTCAAAATGTGGCAAGGTCTTTATGAATGGCGAGTCATGCCGTTTGGGCTGTGTAATGCGCCCTCGACCTTTATGAGGCTTATGAATGAGATTTTGAAGCCCTGTTTAAATAAGACCTACGTCTATTTCGACGACATTCTTATTTTTAGCTTGTCTTGGGCTCCTCATTTACAACACTTGCAACAAGTATTTGAAATCCTACAAGCTAATAAGTTGTATCTGAACTTACCCAAGTGCGAATTTGCCACTAGCACTGTGTATTTCTTGGGTTTCATTATTTCTACAGGTGGCGTGCAAGTAGATCCAAAGAAGATTAAGGCCATTTCTGAGTGGCCCACTCCTCAATCCTTCTTCGATGTGCGAAGTTTCCATGGCCTAGCAAATTTTTTATCATTGTTTCATCAAGGGTTTCAGTATCCTCGTTGCACCCTTGACCGATTGCTTGAAGTCCAAATAGTTCACCTGGGCGGAAGATCAACAAAGGAGTTTCGAAGCAGTCAAAGCCGCGTTCTCGTCAACACCTGTTCTCACATTTTCGGACTTCGACAAACCATTCACGGTTGAAACTGATGCATCCGCTATCGAAATTGGTGCCATTCTAATGCAGCAGAACAGACCAATATAGTATTTTAGTGAAAAACTCTGCCCCGCTCGCCAAAAGTGGTGTATACGAACAAGAGCTATATGTCATGGTGTGTGCCCTCAAATAATGGGAACATTATCTCTTGCACAAGGATTTTGTGTTACACAGTGATGATAAGGCCTTGCAGTATATTAACAATCAGAAAACGCTCAACAGGATGCACGCACGGTGCATCCTATTCTTACAAAGGTTTACCTTTGTTCTTAAACACAAGTCGGGAGCTAAAAACAGGGTTGCTGATGCCTTAAGCTGAAAATTTACACTCCTGACTCAGCTTAATACCGAGATTACGGGTCTCCAATGTCTGTAGGATCTGTACGCAACGGACAAAGATTTCCAAAAAATCTAGGCTGAATGCTTGGAGAAGAACTCAGTTGGGCAATACTCCATCCGGCACGAATTTTTATTCAAACAAAATGCTCTTTGTGTTCCTGACTCGCCGTGGCGACAACAAATTATCCAAGAAATTCACTGTGGCAGCCTTGCCGCTAATGTGGGCCGTGATAAGACGCTCGAGCAACTACAATTGTGTTTCTTCTGGCCGCACTTGCGTAGGGATAATGTTGCCCGTTTTGTGGAACATTGTCCAGTGTGCCAATCATATAAGGGTGTTAAGCAAAACACTGGCTTATATTTACCGTTATCTGTTCCGGAGACGATATGGGAGGATCTTAGTCTTGATTTTCTCCTCGGATTGCCCAAAACAAAGTGAGGTAATGATTCTATCATGGTAGTCGTAGATAGATTCTCTAAAATGGCGCACTTTATCGCTTGCAAAAAAACTTTTGACGCCCTTAACATTGCCCGTCTGTTTTTTAATGAGTTTGTCCGATTGCATGGCATTCCTCGTAGTTTGACCTCTGAAAGGAATGTTAAATTTATTAGCCATTTTTGGCGTGAATTATGGAAGAGGCTCAAAATTGATATTAATTTAAGCTCCGCTTACCACCCACAAACGGATGGGCAGACTGAAGTTGTGAATCATACTTTGGGAAACATGTTGAGGTGTTTAGTGCAAGAACAACCTCGGCAGTGGGATGAACTCTTGAGCCAGGCGGAGTTCGCTTACAATAGCATGTCTAATCGATCAACTGGTACCTCCCCATTTCATATTGTGTACACCAAGGCACCTAATCATACGGTTGACGTTGCAATCCTTCTGAAGTGTCATAATCGGCAAGCAGCTCATTTGGTTGTTCAATCTCAAATGTTACAGAACATAAGGCTCAAGCTACTATCTTCTAATGAGAACTATAAGTTGGCTGCTGATTCATATATATCGCCGGGAAAGACTTTTTAAACCGGGTGAACTAGTTATGGTTCCCATTCGCCGTGAACGCTTACCTGCGGACACGTATTCTAAATTGGGTCGCCGCAAAGTTGGCCCCTTTCCCATATTGTAAAAGATCAATGACAACACATACATCAATGGCATTCATTCATACTACCCCACAGACGAGGCGACAACGACTGTGTCTGCTGAGATAGCAGACTCTTCCCCGGCGGGGGAGTCCTGATGCGGATCATCTTACCTGTTGCAGATCATCTTAGTCGCAGGGAGTATCTTATCATTCCGTTATGCATAGTCTTATTATTGCTTTATTAGTTGAATCTCCACTACTTGCATTTCTCTTTTAGTAACTAATAGTGCTAGACAACTTTCTGTTATGGGTTAATGCTTTTAGCCTTTCGTCTTTATACAAAAGCTGTGTTGCTTTAGTTTCTCGGTAGAAAGAAAATATACTCCTCTGTTTGCTGCCAAGTAATCCTTTGCCTTGTTTTGTGTTACTGTTCTATTCATTTATCTGCAGGAAACTTCCTCTACCGACTACCTACGTCAATTACTATTGTCCTTTCTTATAGTTTGCTTACCTTAATCTAGTAATTAGCACTATTTGAGCTAGTAGAATTATATAACTGTATTGATGGAGAAGGAAAGCAAATAATAGACTTATTCTTCTTCCTAATAAATTTACTGTTTCAATCAAGTTTTCTACTCTGGTTTACCCATGCCACCGGCGACTACACCATCGCTGGAGCCATAGGAAGCAAACTCTGTAGGCTTCTTTCACTGTACAACACCGACGATGGCATAGAGGACACCACCAATTTACCTCTCTTTCATACGGTCTTCTCTAATATCTATTGAATATTTCCTCTACTCTGCTTCAAAATTGACTTGATCAACAGTGATGAACTCTGTAGCTGACACCACATCCTTTTCTTCCTTAGCTTCCTCAATAGTGGAATAAAAAGCCCTTTTCACTACTGGTATGGTTGCAGGTGCAGCGTCCCCATTGTTCTCAAGAACAACTGAATTTGCTACCATTTGATTTTTCCAAGACAATGCCATGAGCTACTTGTAAGCAAAATCAACAGGAAGTTGCTATAGTGGATCACAAGTGAGTGACAGAAGTGGTTTGATGGGCTCAGCTGGTGCCCACGGGAGTAGGGTCAGATTATAGGGGAAGGCGGAGGCGGAACCATGGGTGACGAAATGGGGTTGGAGCGGAGGCGCAAGTTGATTGCGGAATAAATGGCCAGGAAAGGATTCCACCACCAGAGAAGGAGTTTGAGTAGAGGGTAGTTGTCAACCATGGCAGCTTTATCGTGGAACTAGTGGCGTTCGCATGAAGCGGATGAGAGGAGGGAAGACAAAGATGTCGATATGGTTGCCGACAGCATTCACATTCTCCTTATGGAATGAAGTGTTTTGTCTATTCAATCATGTTATGCATTCACTTGAGCTTCATAAACATCTATAAGGCTTCAATCATTATCGACAGCAAATATTTTTTGGTGTCGGCTACCCATCTTATTCTTTGGATTTGATTTTCGTCGATAGCTCACCTTCTTTTGCAATCAATCGTTCTTCGCAAGCTCCGAGCACTGATACCAACTGATATAGTGGATCGTCGAAAGAATCAGATTAGTAAGAAGAAAATCTCAATCTATGGAACAAAGATAAACCAAACTTCAAAGAGAATAATATTTTATCAATGCCTCCTCTTCTTTCATCATACTATATATAATAATTAGGTATAAACCTAAAGAAAACTAGAAAGTTTTAGAAGCCTATAATGAACTTATAACAAACTAAATTAGATAGTCTAAAAAAATTTTTAAGCTAAAAATGCTCCGCATCACAAACCTACAATAATATCACTATCAAAATGAGGTAGCTATCGCAATATATCATTTCAGTAGTTTTCAAATAGCTGCTAAACGCCACCATTGGCAGTGATTTAAATCGTTGATAAATAATAAAAAAAAAAACTTCGTTAATTTTGTGGCGGTTAAAACTATGACAAAAGCCTCATTTCTTTCTATTTCCCTGCTCACCTTGTACCCTAGATGCTCGTTCCTTTAACATTTTTTCCTCCCAACAGACGAATTTCCCTTGCTCTTGCCCACCATGCTGATTGCCATTGTGATGATCACACTACCACATCAACAGTTGCATTGTCAATTATCATCATGATGTCTATCACTGTGTCTACCTAGCTAGATAGATTCATATTTGCAACACTGCTCCAATCTAATTTTATGGAAATGGAACATGAAATTTGTGTATTTTGATAAAAAAAAAAAAAACGAAAGAACAAATGCAACATCACAAGGTATGAAGGAGGTTATATGGAGAAATGTATATCTATATTGGTATGTTATTTAAACATTGCTAATGGAGTTCTAAAATGAAGTTTAAAATATCTTTGAAAATATTGTTTTTGCTAAGGGCTCTTGTAAGTGAAAAATTAAATATGTTTTAGATCAAGTACTAATTACTACATTTTTTATATCAATAATTAGATTAAATTTTTATAAGATGGGCTTTCATAAAAAATGAGATGTTTTATTAATATTTTAGAAGGCAAATGAATTAATATGCCAGTTCTAGTTTCGGTCACTACCAATCGATAATGAAATTAATATGATCATTGAAACTAAATAACTTTAATAAGAAGAAGCATATCAATATATAAGGAAAATTAAAAAAAAAGGCTATCAATCTAGAATAAGTGTTGTATGGTGAAATAAGTTAAACTTTTCTATCAATTATATATTTGTTTATGGGTCTATCACATGCCTCTATCAATCATTATGCTATGTATAGCTGTCTATTAATATGTCATGTTAATTTGTTATATCAAGATGGTGTATCATTATATCTATCAATAACTTTATATAATTTATGTCATTATGTATCAGTATTAATACAAGTTCTATCAATATTAATTCAGTTGCATTGATCAATAAATTAAAAATGTTATCATATAAATGTAATCATGAATGTAATTATGAATAGTAATGTAAGACATTCAATTTTAATGAGATGTTTTTATTATTTAGTTTAACCGAACTGTTAGCCAGTTGATCATCAATCTTTAAGTTAACTTTAATTGTTGACCAATTGGTCATCAATCTTTATCTTGCCATCATTAATCATTATCTTAAGTCAATTCACATGTTACTTTCAATAAATTATTAGAAGTCATCACCCTCTACCCATCATTATGATTTAGTCAATCAGTTACAAAATAATATCTAGGATTACACAATAAACTTTTTATTTTAAGAAAAGCTCATCGACCCACCCTCATATATATGGTATTATATTTTAAGAGTAAACTAGAATTAATTATAATGTTAACAACCAGCTTTCCTTGCTCGGATGCAAAAGTCACGGTGATCTTCTATCATTTATACAATTTTTTCTCTACAAGCCCGTATCATAACTACCAATTTACCTGGTGAAATTCTATAATATTACAATCAAAATACCCATGAGAATTATATCTATCATATATAAATGTTACACCATCTCAATAAATTAGAAAAAAAAATGATTTTTTGGCAGAGTCAAGAGAGATAACATTCATAGAAATTAAAATCATAAAAAATAGGAGTAAGAGTATAGTTACCTAAAATGAGTAGAATAATTTTTGTGAGAGGAACAATGGACAAATAATCTCATCCCTTCTCCTCTCTCTCTCTCTCTCTCCCTCTGCAAGAAAGCAACAAAAAAAAGGGAGGTGATGGGTGGTGATGAGGGATATTAAATAATCAATATAAAAAAATCATTTTTAGTACTTAGCATCATGGCGCTCCCATGTCCCAGTGTCGCAATGTTGCATGTCAAATAGCAATGGGACATAACACCACCTCAACGCCATTGTACAAAATTATTTTAAGAAATTCACGGTAGCTCAGCACCATGGCGGGGATTAGTGGCACCACAACATTGCTCCTGGATCAAAATTTTCATGTTTTCAAACAAATTCACTTAAGCTTTTTGAGTTTTTATAGTGATGTTAGTTGGTTAATCAGTGATCATAAACAGAGGACAAAGTTAGTGCCAAGCCTAAAAGTATTAATGTTTTTTTCAAAAAAGGGCTAATATGAGAATAATTAATTGCATGAGAGTCTGGGAAGAAATATTAATTGAAAAAACTAAGAAATAAATCTTATCAGCATATAATGGATTGAGTGATCTATATTATGAGGTATCAAGAGACAATATGTGTGACACTCAAAAATCTAATTTGAAATAATTGCTTATTTTAAACATTCTCGTCATTTAACAAAGTCATTAATAGACACCTATATTAAAAATAAAGCAGCTAAAAGAAGATACTTCATTTTACATATATAAACATCAATATACATCGACCAAGTTCTTAGAAATACATATATAATACTTATGATAGCAAGACATTCCATTTGCACTTACTACTCGTGAACTATCATGACTACAAAAATACAACACAATCCTAAACTAGCAACAAATTAAAAATAGTCTCACTCCATTGGCTCCTTATCATTTTATGAAATTATGAAAAAAAAATCATATAATGAGCCGACAACATAGCTAATAGGTTTCTAGGACCTACAACTGCATTCAATGCACGAAAACAAAAATAATATGCTTCATTCATTCAATTAATATCAGTATATACATGTAACATGTGATAATTAATATGAACAATATCAATTTGTATTTATACAATCATTGTAACTCAGTAACCATAAAAAGGATCAGTATAAGCACTTCTAATATTCTATCATTTATTAGTACATATCTATATCAATGTTTAATTAATGCTCTATCATATATATTAGTGTGAATGTTATTATGCATGCTATGTAATGCATTACACATACATAAATCCAAAGTTTTCAAAACCAATCCACACACATTTATGCTACTGAACCCAATTAATCCATATAAAATTCTTGGAGAGAAAAAAAAAAAAACCGTGTCACCAAATTTGGAAATAAAATCTAAATCAGCAGGATTATAGGAGATTTCATAGTAATATTGAAAAAAAGGGGACCACTTAATAAGTTATTTGTTATTAACTTTTCTATTTTTGATCCTCTCTAATGCATCACATAAACATCAACATTACCATCTTTCTTCTTTGAGATTTCTAAAGATTTTATTCAAAGAGAGAAATTTTATTTCATGGAAAACTTTAGATGCTTCTCTGCTAAAATTACATTGGACAACAAATAAAATGGACATACATATATATATATATGTATCCATGAATATTGTTCATATAGTTGTGCTGTCAAGACTTTTGCATGCCAGCATGGAGATGTATGCAGAACAAACAGATATATATATATCCATAGTACTATAGGGACTGAACTGATATGCATCGATCATATTGCTTCTTGATCCGCTTTGAAGCCACGAAGGGCCAGATCACCTATTTTATATTCACATTTATTTCTTTGCTTGCGATACTCATTGTAAATGAAGTTTTGGTAAAGCTTCGGGTGCTCGGCATCAATAAAGGCTGGCTCAGTCCCTATGTAGCCGTCTCTTGGTGCCAGTAGAAACAAACCGATGGAGAATCGCGTCGTGACTTTCTTACAGACCACTCTATGCTTCACAGTGTGCAGTCTCCCATTGCTCCAAACCTTCACCATATACAAATTAATGCAGACATAATTAAGAGATATAGAGAGATTAGAAATGTGAAGGAATTGATGAATTACCTTTCCCATATCACCTATGTTAACAAAAATGGCTCCCGGGAGAGGATCAACGTCTACAAAGTTGCCATTAGCATCTATGATCTGAAGGCCACCAACACACTCATCTGCTTGCAAGACGGTGAGAAAACTGGAGTCCGTGTGAAGAGGAGCAGCAATACAGCCAATATCCTCTTGAGAAGTAACCTTGTAAGACATCACTCTCGCCTGACAAGACCATTCCTCAAAAGAACGGCCAACCAAGCCCAAACTCTCTACTACTTTAGAGGCCATTTCCAAGATCAAGCCATGTAGTTTTCCAAAATAATCGGTAATAACTTTACTGTTCGCTTCATTAATTTCACTAGAATTAGTATTAGTACTGTTTTAAGGAATACAAATAAAATAATGACAAGGAAAGTAGAAAGAAGAAGAGCGCACCGTTGCTGTGGCGTGACGTCCAGAGCAGAACAGAAAGAGAGGACGTCGGAGGGTAAGGCGGCGTCGTAGATGCTGAAGGACTCGTGATATTTGCCGTTGGGTTCGAAATTACGCGGCCTGTAGCGGCCATCGATCACGTTGAGGTTGACGTTGCGCTGCTTAACCTCTTCGGGGAAGTCGAACAGTGTCCGGGCGGTTTCCTTCATATCGGAAAGAAGCGCCACAGGAATACCATGGTTGATCACCTGAAAGCAACCCACCTCGGTGCTCGCAGCAGCGAGCTTCTCAAGCTCGGCGGGGAAGTTGGCGAGGTCGATCACTGGAACCACGATCTCTTCTTTCGCCATTAAGCACCGGAGATTTGGACTTTTATTTTATTAGAGTAGGACAAGAATATGAGATCAGAGAAGAGGCTGGCAATGAAGCCGAATTTAAAAGGGGAGGACGTTGGGCTAGTAGATTAATGCCATCATAAATGCAAACCACGTGAAATAATAATCGCCGCTGGTCCAAACTAACTTAGACCTCAAACGTTTGGGATGTTTATGTGGAAGAACAAGCACCACACATTCCCGGAAAAAAAAAAAAAATTCTCCCGTAGCACTAAAGCCCGTTAGAGCTAACAGATACGTCGAAAGATTAAAAAAAATCCAACCAATTGACAGGTTGCAGCATACAGCTCACCTTAGCCTGTTGGTTGAGAGCTTAGGCTTCCAACTAAGAGGTCTTGGATTCGAGTCGTTGTGTATGCATTGTATGTGTGAGTTTGCCTTAAATGGCCTAAATGTCCCAAAAAAAACAGGCTGCAGCAGTATGGGGAGAACGAACGAGCAGTGAGCGATAAAAGGCAACAATTGATCGTGGTCACAACAACAGCCAAACAAAAACACATCTATCTATTATTATGTGCGGACAGGATGGAAAGTGGAAACGCACGGGTACAAAGCACAAGCTCGGTTTATTTTTGAGATGATGTGATGCATTTTTATTGGTCTCTGACCGCTCCAAACTCCGCACAGAATAAAAATTCCTCACAGATGGTAAAATTATTCTGTGTGGATGCTAACGTCGTTTGGAGGTGAATCAAAGCACGTCACGTCATCTTTTTATTTTGATTGTAGTTGTAATACCCGCATGTTCCAGCTGATATGACCGCTTTGATTCACGTCTAAAGTCCTGACCGCACAGAATAATTTTTTCAGGCGAGACTAATACATTAAAAAAAGGCCTTAGGACGACTGCCTTGAAAAAATACCAAATAAATCATGAAAGCTATGGACAGAAACAAGCGAGACCCATGATAGCCAAATCGATGCAGCCCACTGTACCGCTACATCGCCACTAGCACCACACTAATTGTAGTGTAGCTTTCAAAGCCATACACAATTAAAGTAATTTGATGATTTTGTAACCTTCACTTCTATTAGGATCTTGGAAGATGTTCTTGAGAGAGAGAGAGGGAAGGAGAGGGAGACAGCAACTTGGGAGGAAATACAAATTAAGCATTTCAGATTTTTCCCCAAATCTTACATCAACCAAAGGCCTCTATTTATAGAGCATTACCAAGGTGTGATAACATGCATGAGCAACATAGCTTAAAACTAAAACAACTCATAACAATCTCCACCTTGATTTAGTTTTACAAAAAACAAAGAACCACTTGTCACAAGAACTCGAACTTATTGCAATCCAACCGATCGCCTTGGACACCAGTGCGCGCTCCTACCAACGACTTCGCACGATCCACCTGTCCAATCCCAAGTTTGCGACCATCTTGCCTCCACGAGGTTCTTGATGCTTCAACATGCTCCTATAATTCTCCACCTTGATCGAATCCAAGATCAAGAGTCTCTCTCTCCGCCTCTTCAGCTGCCTTTCGTGATCAAGAACCAGGACGAACCAACAAAGCCAGTTCTCCAATCCTGCCTGTCTTTCTGCGCCTCGTGCCCGCGCCCTGAGCCTCAAGCTCCTCTACCGTGCCTTGCACTCTTGTGCAACCTCCTCGTGCACCGCACGACCTCGCACCTTCAGGCGCCCCGCACTCCCGACACTACTCCCCAAGAACAAGCCGACTCTACCTCAAAGATCCAATCCGATCTTTCGTTGCGTTCTTGACCGATCTTTAATCAAGAACAGAAAGATCTGCATCCAACTGGTCTCCTGCCCAATCTTAATGCTCATGTGCCCGGGCCTCGCCAGCTCGATCTCAGCACTGAACACCCAAGATGCCTTCCGACTCCAGCGACCCCGCACAATCTTGCTGAACACCGGTCCTCCCCCGATCACACCAACACACGTGGATCCAACGAATGACCCATGTCTCCGTTCTGCACTAGCCACATGAAGACCACAGTGGGCCTGCTCTCACACGGCCTTCGCTCCCTGAGCTTGTCCGACACCTTGCGCCCAGCTTCGACCGCGCCTGCCAGCCACTGCGGTCTGCAGCGCTCCAGGCTTCAACTCGTTCAGCCCACGCACACCACGCCTTCGGCCAACCTGAACGCCGCGAACCCGACGCCATCCTACCTCGCATGTTCGCGAGACCCGCGACGCCACCTCCTGCTGATCAAGAAGCCCACGCCGGTGACCCTTCCGATCAGACTTTGTCTGATACGCATGTTTGTGTATCCAAGGCTGAATGCTCCACCTCATGAACGCATTCCTCCATCTCCCTAGCTCTTATACCATTTGTTAGGATCTTGGAAGATGTTCTTGAGAGAGAGAGAGAGAAAGAGGGAAGGAGAGGGAGACAACAATTTGGGAGGAAATACAAATTAAGCTTTTCAGATTTTTCCCCAAATCTTACATCAACCCAAGCCCTCTATTTATAGAGCATTACCAAGGTGTGATAACATGCATGAGCAACATAGCCTAAAACTAAAACAACTCATAACAACTTCAAATCAAAAAATGTTTTTTTTTTTTTTCCCTCGAGCGTCTCTACACCTTTAGCCTCTTAACCAAATGTATCTCTCGGGCTTCTTTCTTTTTTTGCTAACCTGAGCCTGCTTAATTTTACTCTCATATTAATGATATGGTTGTTATTTCAATTGCTACTTGTTGCTGCATCTTCAAAAATTTTGCGGCGATAGAGAGATATGAGGTTTAGCGTCATAGTTTTGTATGAGGATCCAGCATTCAAACAGATAAACATAAGGGGCTCAAGAATCATAAGAGACGCCAAGTTTTTAACGTCAAAATCCTAAAAAGGGAAACCCACCGGGTAAAGCCCAATTAAAATGATTTCTCTAGTATTTGTTGTCGATTACAAATGATGCCCTTCCGCAAGGGAAGTCATTTCCTCAATGTATCTTATAAAGCACATTACATAGTGGGGTTGGAATATTCCAATAATAATGAAGCCAGACTCGAGAACTTTAGTATGTTCATTTGGTTGATAAGGTTGTATTTGGGCAATAGAGATCAGAGGGACTGAAGTCAGCGAGTGACGATGGTGTCGTTGGGTTCGTCTCTTCAAAATGTTTAATTTGACTATAAGTTTGTTAAAATTGGAGTTCATATGGCTCTGAATTTAATTTTGAAAGTTTTCAAATTGAATGTTCCTCGAGAATCGTACACGGTCTAGACAATTTCTGGTGGCGTATCAGTACTAAAAGCTTATACTATCTGGTAGAAGATTTGATAATAATATTAGTAGTTTCACAATGTTATATTTGAAAATTCGGCGCGCTATCAAATCAAAAGTCGCAAATGGGAGAAGATTTAAGAATCCATTCAATCCTACTATAGCTCTAACTTTGAGTTCCTCACTATTAAGGAATTTTTTTAATCAACTTTCAGCGTCGGATAATGATGAAAAGCCTTCTTCCTGCTTTTTTTGGGTGGATTTTAATCTCTAGTAGCCATGCTCGCATGGATGGCCATCTGGCAATCATGGTTTGTAGTTATCTTGCTATTCATGCCAGCTGTTCGGCGAAAAACTTCTGAATTTTGATGTTGGCATCCTCTTTGGGGCTCCCTTTATTTTGCTTTCTTCTTGCTTGAAAGATATGTTTCTTGATTTTGAATTGCATTTTTGTTCATATACCGTGTATATTTTGGGTTTTTTAGTCTGTTTCTACTTTCATATTTGTGATTTTTTTTCAATTCACGTATTTAATAATGTTGGATATGACTTTAATCGTAACCGAGGCAATGAAATAATGAAGCGCAGTATGAATGAATGAATACTTTCATCACTATTAATATGCTCTTTATTCTACTCTATTTTTCACTTTTTTCAAAATCAATATAGTTTGTTTATCATGATATCAGAGTATAATAGTGAAACTATAACTCTCATCTTCATCATGCCTTCAATAGACAAATCATCTAACCCATGCTTTTAGCACGAACAACACAACCACCTCACTCATTTACAACTCCCATACTAACATTAGTTCACCACTCAAGATGTTAGATACACCCATCCCCATATATCAATTTTTTATCTGTAACTTTGAAAATATAACCAACCTCTGATCTCCAAGAATTATCCTAGAAATATGTCTAGAATGCGAAAAAATTTTCAAGCAAATGGGTTCGAAGGGTGCCTCAATGGAAACACACTATATCCACCCAAGCAACTCATTAACATAGAAATATATATTACCCATAACATTCAATGCTACACTTGCTTCTCATGGGTCAAAACCTATAGAAAAATGGTTATTAAATGGAGTGTTAAAGTCACAAATTAACATTTAAATCATTTAAATCTCACTATTATTGAGCTATTAAACTCATTCACTCAGATGTTTAAGACCTTCCTCAATCCACTTCCTTGCAAGGTTATAACTCTTAAGTTAATTTAATAAATGAACACTCACAGTACTATCAGCTATATATGATGCTCATAAAATTTCCTTAATTTAAAAATATGGTAGAAAAGCAATTTCAAAATTCTTCAATTAAAAAATATTATAGAAAAAATGGTTTCAAAGTCCCATAAAAAATCTCTACTTAAAATATGGTAAGGAATACATTAATAATACTCACCAATATTTACTTTCCAACTATGTCATTACACACCAATCCAAATGCCCTAACACTTTAGAATGGAAGATGATAATTGAACAAAAATACCAATATATATATTAAATACCAAAATATTATTAAAGTTGTTTGCATACTTTAACATAATGCAAATTTCTCTCATTTCTTTTGAGTTCAAGCCCTACTCGCGCTAGTATTTCTCATCAATTGCTTACCCTCTAAAACTACCAATAATTGATCACCATATAAACTCCTACACCCCAAAGAACCTCAATATACTCACCTAAACTCTCTTAGATCATTGAATTGCTTCTTTCTCACATATGACTCCTCGAAAAAGAGTTACAACATGCACATAATATGGCTTAATTTGACATCTCCTGTATGAATTCAAGATTCTAGTCTCCTCACTAATGCCACTATA